ACTTCTATAGTTGAATATTGCAGCTGCAAAGTAGAACTAATTTCTACTCTTAATGATGACCGTTTCCATCCAATTTCAGCTTAGGTGAAATGGAACTCATAAAATGCAAGACAGGTCCTGTTTTCAGTGTTAGTGCCATCTGCTTCAACCCAAAGTATATTTTAGATGCCATGTTAATAAGTGCACGTGCATGGCTGGACTTCTACCTCTTAAACCTTGCTGTTTTGCTTGGCTTTTACAGTGCTAGCATTTTATTTGCTTGATAGTGTTTCAGCGAAGTAAGTATGTGGTATTTTTAGGGGTGCTTGGATTGGGAGAGAGAAGGAGAAGAGAAACAGACTTTGTTAGATTAAATGGATAGGAATCTGGGTTAAGTTAATAATATGAATCAGCGTGCTTTGATTGGTATTTTCTGTTATTGAGTTGAATGTATTGAATTTGCATTCCTCAAGTGGAAATTGGAATGCATGTACATGACTTGTAATGAAACTAGACCTTGAGTTGACCATATAAACTGCGTTGTGGTTTTTCTTGCCTTGAAACTTCATGAGCGAATATGACAAACTATGCTTACTAGGATTTTACCTCACCCTTTACTTTTTCCTCTCCTTTCAGATAATTAGTTTGTGTGGTGGCTTGTCACAGCTTAGGAAGCTTTGGGTATAAGTCATTGATGCTGCTAGTGTGTAGGAGTTAGAATCCTCATTATACTTGAAAGTCGAGCAAATTGGTGTATTATCAAAACAGGAGGTTGCAGGTTATGACTCTTCTTTATATCTTCTTGAAGAGTACATGCATACACTCATTTGGAAATCATTTTTTACTGCACATTGATGAATATAAAATGAAAGGAGCTTGGCCTTGGCTTTTCCCAATCTTGTTTTGAACAACTTAGCATACCTTTTGTTTACAAAATTTGAAAAAATGGTTTCAGTAGCATTACAGTTTAGAATATTCAATTTGTTGTAATGGTTTTAGTTTTGTTTTATTAAAAAGAGATAAGAGAGCATTTATAATATATATTTTTGGTACATCTTTATGATGAGCTATGTAGAGAGGGATAACTCTCCCCTTTTCCCAAATCCATCCCCAAGAAAAATCAGAAGAGCACATAAAATTGTTAGGGAAGAAAGAATATATCTATGAACTACAATATGATTCCTAATTAGTCATGCATCTAGAAAACAGAGAACTGCCATCAGTCATTTTAGGGAAGACTTGTAAATGTGCTGTGTTTTCAAGGATAGTTGGGACTGCATAAGGCTCCCAATTTGTCAGCTAGAAAACAGAGGATTGCTGTTGGTCATTGCAGGGAAAACTTGCACATAGACAGGACAAATGGGTTGGGTTAGGTCCTTATGGTTGTGGGTTAGATGGATTGGTTCAATGGGTTTACAAGCATAAAAGAAGGTGACTATTGACGTACACATTCACAAGTTATGAGGTTTTGGCCCTACACATGTGAGTTGCAATCAAATGGATTGAGTTAAATAAATTCATAGGTGGAGTCTACTTGTGCACACTAGCTGGTCAACACTCTACACTAGTGCTTTTTTCGATATATATACCCTTGTAATTTGTAAACCTTGTAGCAAACCAATGGACGTTCCATTTTTTATTAATAGCATGAACCTCTTACTTCTTTTCTTCTCTAGATTCTCATATTCTCTAGATTCTCATATGGAACTGATATCATCACCTCATTCCAAAATCTTAGTGATGGCAGAACCTTCGTTTCTAGTGATGGAAGCTTTGAACTGGGGTTCTTAAATTCTGGAAGCTCTGGTAGGAGTCATTAATTGGGAATTTGGTTCAGGAAAGTCTCAGGTCAAGCTGTTGTTTGGGTTGCAACCAGGTGCAGCCCAATAAACGGCTTGTCAGGTGTTTTGATGATAAATAGCACCAGCAATCTGGTACTCCTTAGTCAAAACAGGAGTGTTGTATGGGCATCAAATTCAAAGACAGAAGCTCAAAACCCAATAGTGCAACTCCTGGATTCTGGAAATCTTGTTCTAAAAGATAGAATTGCTGGTAAATTAGAAATACTATTGTGGCAAAGCTTTGATTATCCTACTGATACTTTGCTGGCAGGGATGAAACTTGGATGGGACTCAAGGATTGGTCTTAATAGACAACTATCAGCGTGGAAGTCCCAAGATGACCCATGCCCTGGAGACTTCACTTATGGGATGGAGCCATATAATTTTCCTGATACTGTTATGTTGGAAGGCTCAAAGAAGTACTTCAGGTTAGGACCCTGAAATGGCAATGGATTCAGTGGTCAAATGCAGTTCGATACCAATCAGTATTTAATGCTCAAAATGACCTCAAATGAAGAGGAGACTTACTTCATGTATTATATCAGTAACATATCATTAATCACAAGGCTTACTTTGAACCATACTTCCAGCAGGATAGAGGGCTCCATATGGAAAGAAGATACTGGGATATTGTTCAGTCATTATCCAAGGGATGACTGTGACAACTATGGAACTTGTGGCACATATGGAACCTGTGTCAATTCAGTGTTGCCGCCTTGTCAATGTTTGAAAGGTTTCAAGTTTAAATCACATGAAGGGAACTCAATGGACTGGTATCAGGGGTGTGTGCACAATAACCCATTAGACTGCCAGAAAGGAGATGGGTTTATCAAATTTGGTGGGTTGAAACTGCCAGACACGGAACATTCTTGGGTGAATGAAAGCATGGATCTGAATCAGTGTAGGGCTAAATGCTTAGAGAATTGCTCTTGTATGGCCTATACAACGTTGGATATTAAAGAAGCCAGTGGGTATGCAATCTGGTATGGTGATCTACTTGATCTTAAACAGGTCCAGCTTTCCGGACAAGATTTATACATTAGAATGTCTGCTGCTGATTCAGGTATTGGGTTACTCTTAGTTCAACCTAGCATTTCATTAAGTCATGTTATGATTCCTAATTTTGTATTTGTGTTTGCTGTTACCAATTTTAATTTCAGTCAACATGTGAAACTAGTTCATTGCTAGGACTCTAATTCATATATTTCGTTGTTTTATGGAATTAGACCATGAAGAGACAAAAGGCAAGAATAAAATGAAGGCAGCACTAATAATTGCAATTACTGCTCTTGTAGTTATTAGTCTTATTGTAATCACCTATTACATTAGCAGGAGCCGTCGAAACATATAAGGTAAGTTTCTTTGCCCTCACAAATCCTGTGGTCTTTGAATATTGGTAGCAACTTCCCTTAGTTATTTTCTCACTGTTTGGTTTTGATTAAATTCTTCATCCTTTTAGGAAGAGAAAATGGCTGGAGCAATGAAAGGCAAAACGAAGATATGGAACTCCTGTTATTTGATTTAGCTGTAATATCCAAGGCTACCAATGACTTCTATTCCCACAACAAGCTAGGAGAAGGTGGCTTTGGGCCTGTATACAAGGTAAACGTTCAGAGCTCTTGTAAAATTGAGTATTAGTTTAAGACCAAATGAACTTTACAAGTACATTTTTCCAGGGTACTATGCCAGATGCAAAAGAAATTGCTGTGAAGAGGCTTTCAAAAAGCTCTAGACAAGGATTAGTTGAGTTGAAGAATGAAGTAGCACTTATAGCCAAACTTCAACATCGGAATCTTGAAAAGCTTCTAGGATGCTGCATTCAAGGGGAGGAGAAAATGCTGATTTATGAATATATGCCTAATAAAAGTTTGGACTTCTTCATTTTTGGTTTTGTATTCCTTTGAAACCCAGCCAATTAAACTTGTAGTAGTATAAATTCAATTCATTTTGTTTTCATATTTCAATGCAACTATTTGTTTCAAAAACTCTAGTTGAAGACTATATTAATTCAAAGATCATGTTTCATGACAGATGATACAAGAAGGAAATTATTAGACTGGTCAAGGCGTTTTCACATTATTTGTGGAATTGCTAAAGAGCTTGTCTATCTACATTAAGATTCTCAATTGAGGATCATGCATAGAGATCTCAAAGCAAGCAATGTTTTGCTTGATAGTGAAATGAACCCCAAAATTTCTGACTTTGGCATGGCTAGAACATTTGGAGAACAGTCTGAGGGAAGCACAAAGATAGTGGTTGGAAACTAGTAAGTTTAAAAACTATCTTTATACTCTCTATTTTACTAAAAATCCCTGCTGATATAATTTATCATAATTGTTTTCTTGCGGTGGTTGTATGGCACCGGAATATGCCATTTATGGGCAATTCTCAGTAAAATCTGATGTTTTCAGCTTCGCTATACTATTGTTGGACATGATAAGTGGGAAGAAGAATAGAGGGTTTAACCATCTCAAGCGTGGCCTTAACCTTGTTGGACATGTAAGTATCAAGCTTCAAAACATACCTTCTTTCCTTCCTTGACCTGAAAAATGATCGAAAGTTTTTAGTTTTTATTTAGGCATGGAGATTGAGGAAAGAAGGAAATCCTTCGGAACTGATTGATTCATTTGTACAAGAGTCTTGCACCTTGTCTGAGTATTAAGATGCATCCATATTGGTCTCTTATGTGTTCAACAACACCCAGAAGACAGGCCAAGGATGCCATATGTGGTTTTGATGCTGAGTAGTGAGATAGCCTTGGAACAACCTAAAGAACCAGGTTTCCTTATTGACAAGAAATCACACGTAACAAATCCTTCATCCAGCAAACCTGAATCATCTTCAACCAATGAACTTAGCCTCTTAGTGTTGGAGCCACGATAAAGGTTTCTCGAAAACTCCTTGCCTTGTGCTACGCAAGTTGCTGAAAGTTGTTTAGGAATGCATGCCATATACCTTAACTATTATTTCGATCTTCAACTCTTCTATAGTTGAATATTCTAAATAGGAAATTGGAACTAATTTCTACTTCTATAGTTGAATATTCCAAATTAATTTAATAACCAATTAAATATGGCAGTGGGGGAAAATGAGGTTGTAAAATGCAAGACTGGTCCTCTTTTCAGTGTTAAGTGACTAGGGGCTCATTTGGTATAGTGGTTTTGGGGTAGTGGTTTTATCCAACCAGCTAAGGATAGGTGTTTAGTTAACTTATATATTTTGAAACCACTACAAATAAGATGTTTGGTAAAAATTTTTATTTAGTGATTTGGGACTAGTGGATAGTAATTAAGGTTGAAACTATTAGCTGATTGAAAAAGTCAGCATATATAGCTTTTTGTATGAAACAGTTAGCAAATTGAAATATTTAGTTTTATTAACAAATTTATCCATTTTCATCTTTTAATTTTTGGCTATGGTTTTTAATTAGGACTTGTCTAATTGGTTTCAATTTCGTTTTTTGTCTTTAGTAACATTAAAGTGTTTATAATATTTTTATTTTTTACATTAATTTATCGTAAAAATATATTAGCTTAATAAAAAAAATTGCTAATTAGATGAAACAATATAATTTTTTTATTTAAAAATAATATAATTTTTTATTTGTTAAAAATATAAATAAGTGTCTAATTACACTATTATCTTTTATCTTATTTATTTATTTTCTTATTATTATTTTTATAAAATTAATAGTTTTAATAATAAAAAATATAAAAAGAAAAAGTATGCTTAACTGTTTTAAATATATTTTTATTACTCATTTAAGGTTAAATAACAATTGTTAATTATTGTATAACCAAATAGTTATATCAATAGAATATGCTATTTACCATTTGTAATTCGTTTTTTGCTAATCACCACTCGCTATTTATTAAACACCACCTGTTACTTGTTACCACTATTCACTAATTACTCGCTATCTACTGGATTTTAATCACAATACCAAACAAGCCCTAGGTGCAATTTCTTAGGTTCAACCCAAAGTCTATGTTAGATGCCATGTTAAAAAGAGCATAAAGCACTGTTTGGTAGAGCCTATATTTTACTGCTTCCGTTTCAAAAAAATTATTTTTTAAAATAATTATTTTTTATTAAACATTTATTTTAAATTAATTGTCTTTTCTTAATTTTTAAAAGAGAAATATTTTCTTTTTACTTTAATCTTATTATTATCTCTTTACTTAACACTAGAAATCAATCATGTTCCCGCAGGAATTAATGTGTAACCACAGTATTTTGCCGGGTAATTGGGACTGCACCTGGCTCCCAATTAATCATGAAGCTAGAAAACAAAGAATTGTTATCAGTCATAATATTAGGGAAGACTGGCATGCTCATCAACACCTTGTGCAGTTGGAGATGTATACTGTTGTTAAACTGCCACCATAATGGTTCACTCGACAAATAGTTACGATAGAATCTCACATCGATCCAGTGTGATGATGATAAGTAGAATATAGATTTGGAGAATCATAAATTTAGTAGGTTAGTGTTCTGGGTTTAAGAGTGTTGTCTAAAACTAATATATATCTAGGTTGAAAATGTGTTTGACACAATAAATGACTCATCTGATGTTTTGATGATAAATAGCATAGAAATCATGTTGTCATTAAATATTGTTAGCAACTACCATCAGTTCTTTTTTCACCATTTGATTTTTTTGATTAAATTCTTCTATTTGCTAAATACACAACCATTCACTTCTGCACTGGCTTTTCAAAGGTTGGATATGTGGTATGGTATTTTGGTGATGGTGAACTCATGGCCCATATTGACCAAGAGTATGAGATCAAATTTGCATTGTAATGGCATGTCCTCTCTGTTTGGTTACTGAGAAAGTAGAGGAAAATTGAAGATAATTATCTGGCCCCATTTCATGGACCAAATAACTAGGAGAGATGCATAGTGATGCAGCCATCCCCATCAAATCTTGTTGACATTAATGGAGGTGGAGCCACAATTCTGTTATAAGTCAAAGAACCCATTCCACGAGGCATTTTTCTATTGCAAGTCATCGCTAAAAGAAAAGCTGGGAATAAGTGTTCTTGACTTGTTAAGTCTTTGGCTTTTGCTCTGAACTAGTCTTTTTTTTTCTTTTTTTCCCTTTTTTGCTAATATTAATTTCTATAGAAATTGCCTAACTGCGACATTTTTCCAGGGCAGTGACGACTGCTAGAAAGAGAGAGCTGTTGTCAGAAATTGGAAGGCTTACATACTAGTCAACATTCAAGATTGGTGTTCTTCTAAAGCTGCCATTATAAAGGTTTTATTTTTTTATTCCTGAAAACTTGCAAAGAAATGGAAATTCTTTTTTTAAAGTTTATTTTCATCATCCTCTTATTGTTTTTCTTCACTAGATTCTCATGTGAAACTGATATCTTGACCTCATCCACCAATCTTACTGATGGTAGAACCATAGTTTCTAGTGATGAAAGCTTTGAACTGGGGTTCTTCAGTTCAGGAAGCTCTGCCAAGAGCCGTTTCTTGGGAATTTGGTACAAGAATATCCCAATTCAAACTGTTGTTTGGGTTGCAAACAGGTGCAACCCGATAAATGACGCATCTGGTGTTCTGATGGTAAACAGCACAGGCAATCTGGTACTCCTCAGTCAAAGCAGGGGTGTTGTTTGGGCATCAAATTCAAAGATAGAAGCTCAAAACCCAGTAGTGCAGCTCCTGGATTCTGGAAATCTTGTTCTAAAAGATAGCATTGCCGGTGAGTCAGAAATACTTTTGTGGCAAAGCTTTGACTATCCTGCTGATACTTTGTTGCCAGGGATGAAACTTGGATGGGACTTAAGGACCGGTCTTAATCGACAAATATCAGCATGGAAGTCCCCAGATGATCCATGCCCAGGAGACTTAATTTATGGGGTATTGCCATATAATAATCCTGATACAGTTATTTGGAAAGGCTCGCGAAAATACTATCGGACAGGCCCCTGGAATGGCATTGGAATGAGTGGTGCGCCCCAATTGAAGCCAAATCCGTGGTTTACATTCAACTTAGTCTCAAATGAAGAGGAAGTTTACTACATTTTTTACCTCAAAAACAAATCAGCAATCACAAGGCTTATTGTGAACCAAACTACCAGTAGGGGGGAACGCTATTTGTGGAATGATGACACTCGGACTTGGACAGGGTACAACCATTTTCCATGGGATGACTGTGACACCTATGAGACTTGTGGGGCATATGGGACCTGTGTCAATACAGCGCTACCGCCTTGTCAATGTTTAAAAGGTTTCAAGCTGAAATCACAAGAAGAAAGCTCAGTGGACTGGTTTCAGGGATGTGTGCGCAATAAACCTTTAGATTGCCATAAAGGTGATGGATTTATCAAAGTTGATGGGTTGAAACTGCCAGATACTGCACATTCTTGGGTGAATAAAAGTATGAACCTCAATGAGTGCAGGGCTAAATGCTTAGAGAATTGTTCTTGTATGGCCTATACAACCTTGGATATTAAAGAATCCAGCGGTTGTGCAATTTGGTTTGATGATCTAATTGATCTTAAACAGGTCCAATCTGCTGGACAGGATTTATATATTCGAATGGCTGCTTCTGATTCAGGTATTGGGTTAGAAATTCAGTATTTCATGAAGTTTTGTTATGATTCCTATTTATGTCTGGTGTTTCCAGTTCTATTTTCAGTTAATTAGTGAAACTATTTCATTGCTACAACACTAATTCATATATTTCGTCTTTGTTCTATTGAATTAGACCATGAAGAGACAAAAGGCAAGACTAAAATGATGGCAGGACTGATAATTGCAGCTGTCATTCTTGTAGTTACTGGTGTTCTTGTAATCACCTATTACATTCGAAGGAGCCATCGGAACATAGAAGGTTTGTTTCTCTGACTTAACAAATCATGTTGCCATTAAATATTGAAAGAAACTTCTATTGGCTCTTTCCTCACCATTTGATTTTGGTAAATTATTCACCCTTTCAGGAAGAGAAAATGGCTGCAGTGATG